CAATAACGCGATGAACAATGCTGCCTGCACCGCAGTCTTTTTATTCGGATCCGCTTAATTTGAATGGCTCTCGATTAAATTTAAAAAATGCTTTGTTCACAACTATTGCCTTTGTACATTATTTAAGTTAGCGACCTAGTACATAAGCTACTGAAGTCGCATTCGTAATAGCAAACTGTGTGGGCGTTAATATTGTTATTATTACTCTTTACCTGCGAAGAAAAAAAATCTTTACCTTGAAAATCTTTTCTAATATATTTCTTAAGTAATACACACACGCGCACACACACTCACAAACGCGCGCGCACGCACACACGCACACACGCTCATTTTATCATATTGTTTTTCTCATAAAATAAAAAACATATACCTATAATCTTTATTTAATTAAATGATAAAGCCAGAAGACTGTCTGAGATGATATGTGGCGTCTCTTTAAACACGGTTCTGGCAGAATACCAGCGCCGTGGAAAACCGCGGCGGAATCCAAACTATTTACTTTAATTAGTTATACGTATAGTTAAACGTTCCTTTTGTTATAAAAAATTGTTATTTTAAGTGGTTCAATATAATAATAATAATGATGTCACTTTTAGTGGATCCTATGTAAATAAGTTATCATGGAAGTGAATAAAGTTTTATCTATATACATTTTTAACACTTTTCTGCACGAGTCCTACTATTTTAACGCTTGTTAACACCCATTATGTCCTTGTCATTTTTATGAAGTACTGTGAAAGAGAGCAGTCTATACTAAGTCGCTAACTTAGATATTGTATAGAGGCAGAGAAACAAACATTTTGTGTTTCGAGCAAACATTCTGTGTTAAACGTATTGCTTACACATTACAGTGAAAGGAGCTTCTTTCGTTGTAGCGAGAATCCAGCGAACGTAATATTCATAAGTGATATTATCAACGACGGTGATATACGCCGGGAGGCAGCCGGAACGCGATTGTAAGCGAATCTGGAACGGGGCTAGCAAATGAGCACGCATTTGTCTCGGCATGAATACGGCGTTCCAGCTTTGTTCGGTAAACCCGCCTGCCCGACCGCCGCTGGCCTACCTATTACATACTGCTTTATTTTTCCATATTTGGCTACTACTAATCCAAACTGCCTACCATGCGTATTGCCCTAGGTTTAAACATTTTTAAAATATTCGCTTTTCTCAAAATTTCATAACATAACAGATAACACAGGTGGACAGTTCTTATATTTTTAAATAACATATATATTTTATTTTTATTTAATTTAATAAAATATATAATTTCTAAGATTTTAACCGTGTGTGTCCATGGCACCCGCGATACAGGGTTTCCTTAGTGGGGGGCTATGTGCGTGTGCGTGTATTTGTGCGTAAAAAAATTTAATACCAAATTAAGAGGTCATTGATTTTAGTTCAATCATTTCTTACAATTATCGTTAAAAAATATCTTTGAGGAGTAATATTCAATTGAAAATCTCAGTAGGTACTCCATAAAACATGAAAGACGAAACTGGAACAGTATCTTGCAAAAAGGGTTATATTTTTCGCGTATTTAAAATGAACAATACAAAAATTCAAAGTCAATTCTAAAAATAAAATACACGATGACGAGAATGTGATCGAAAACATTTCTAGAATTTCAGCCGGATCACACGCAAGAGTTATTCAAACCATTCTCACCCAATACCTAATTGCGCAAACGTTCAACTACATAAGTGTATTATCGTACTTAGTGTTGCGTCGAATTGGCGACGACAAAAAAGTGATGTTATATTTAATATGAAAAACAACTCACTTATAATTTGCCGATATGATCACAAAAAGTACAAAACTTAGTTTATGTCTACGATTTTTGTCAAACAATTTGTTAGGCTGGTAGTATCTAAGCGACACGTCTGTCCATAACAGTTGCAGTGCCGCTCAGAGCTTTCAATCTCAAAAATCTGAGGGGCATTGACACTACGCCTGAGACATAAGTTGACAAGTCCCGTGTACCTGTAATTTTACCAGCACCCGTACCAAACCAGTTCAGAACTGAAACGCAGTAATGCTCATATTACTGCTGGGGCAGAAATAGCCAAGGTGTTAGTACTTCTCTGGACGAACTCTCTCACAGGAGCTCTACTGCAACTAATCTGTCTTCATTCAATATATTTTATTTCATAAATAAGCAAATTACACTTCAAATCGACAAATTTATTAAACATCATTTCTCATTCTCAACGCAGATTCCCATAAAACAAATTGTTCTTTGTTAATAGTTTGTTCGCACTTATCGTTTACAATACCTATTTAAAAATACCATAATGTAAAAACATTCGACAGACAGAACACTTCCATAAATTTTTCTGATGTAAATAAGCTGAAACAATAGGTATATTGCTTACATACTTTTTACCTTTTGTCACTACTTTCTACGAAAGGAAATTATTATATGTATATATTCTTCTTAACTTAAACTACATTTCCAAAACTACACTGTGACGCCAGGTGTAGGAATGTTAATTTATTTAAACTATCTCTCAGAAATATTCTGGCGCCCGATATGTAAATTGCCTTAACAGCGCGCTTCTGCAGAACAAAGATTCTATTAATGTTCGTGGTATTAACAGTAGTAACTAAAATAATCCAATTGAAAAATTTGTTGAAAGTTATGCAATTCGTTGTTGTCTCAAAAAGCTGTATCTATACCAAATTGCAATTTGGATTGTAACATTATACCTAAATATATTTAACTGTAAATATAAATGTATAACTGTCTAACATTTTTTTTTTAGTATTATGGTGTACACGAGATAATTATGTCATTGTCAGTGCAGGAACTAAATAGTTTTTGTGGACTATTAGCTTAGTGTTTTTGTTAATTACAACAGTAACTTTTACAGAAATAATTGAGACCCTTGTTACTTAATTAGACAACAACAACGTCAACATCATACCTTGCTCTGATTCCAAAGTAAGGAGCTAAAGCACTTGTGTTATGGAAAACGGAAACAACAACGGTACCACAAACACCCAGACCCGAGACAATATAGAAAAGTTAGTTTTCTACACTGACCTGGCCGGAGATCGAACCCGGAACCTCAGATATGGCGACACCATGAAAACCGGTGTGCAGACCACTCGATCACGGAGACCGTCAAATTTAGTTAAGCTGTCTTAGATGTGGCACTATTTTTTCGGATCTAAATAACGAATATTTATTTTTTCAAACGAACCACTGTTTCGGGCACTCTACAAGTCACGTGGTCAGCGAAACGTTGTAAGGAATTGTAAGAATTTCGTGGAATTGCATCTATTTGCCAAGTTTTATTGAAATCGGTTAACGGGAAGTACGCGAAACCGGATTCATCCCAAGGTTGCCACCCTTAGAATTGGAATATTTTCTTCACCACCCTCTTGCCAACAAAAAAATCTAAGTCGGTTCGCAAATGCCGGAGTAATCGCGTAACATACATACAAAAAAATACAGTCGAATTAATAACCTCCTTTTTTAAAGTCGGTTATAAAATAGTATCATTTGCAATGTGTCGCAATCGCGAAACTCTAAAGGACTCTATATGTAACCTATCTATTACCTTCGAAATATATTGTTCACATCGTATTTAACTTGAAATGATACGAAAGGCATCATCAACAAACAATATTAATAATATCTGATAATGTATTTTTATAAGTGCGTTACGAAGCTAAATATGTATTGATAATACGATGGCTTTCTAGAACAAAGGCCTATCTCTCAAAAACATCTAGTTCAACCTTGATGATGATGGTTCAAAAAAAGGCGTAACAAGTCCGCAACGTCGACAAATTGTATACCGTTGCAACGTGGCACGTAGTTATTTTAACCAAAGGAAAGGTTGCTGTATTATTTATAAAAAAAATCACTTTACCTGTAGGTGAAGATGATGAAATAGCTGAGTAATAAGTTGAAATAAGAACTGTTTTGATTTGGACCTCTATTAGTAAGTTAGTGTATCACATGTGTATGTTAGTATCACACGTCATAAGGGCTTTAATCACATGAAAATCATAAAGATAATTTAGTAGCACTAGAGCTCCTTGTGAAAGAGTTCGTCCAAGGAAGTACTGCCACCTTGTCTAATTCTGCCGGTAAGCAGTAATGTGAGCATTACTGTATTTTGGTTTTCAAAGGTAAGAGTGCAAGTGAAATTACAGGCACATGAGACTTGTCAACTTATGTCTCAGGGTGACAAGCGTAGGGGCAGTGTCCCTCAGATTTTTGCGATTTAAAGCTTTGAGTGGCACTGCAACTGTTATGGACAGGCTTGTCGTTTATATACTACCTCAGTGGCTTTGGTTGATTCCGCGTAACAACGAAAGTGTTGAATCAACCACTTTGGAATAAATAATTAGTAAAATTGAGGATATACGCTGATTACACATACGGTGTGAAAACACGATTCCTAAAAATGCTCACGATAGAAAATAACACAAACTTACCTCGAAATTTTACAAGAAAACCGCTGTATTCATTAGTTACTTTACAATATACCAATGATTTTTTTTAATATGAACTGAAGTAAATGGAATATCTATACTGTACGATATACATTTTTGAAATGGTTTCAATTTCGTTTGTAAAAAATAAATTTTAAAATAAAGCCAGTGTCGAGCTGAACCGTATTAGTACGGGAAAAATTTTAATTCGAGCAGAGGTGGTATCGACTCTTAACACCGGTGCACGACTTGTTCATCCTGTCACTTGGTATCATAAGAAAAACTTCATGAAACAAACAATAACGCATTTATGCATAATAAAGTTATCGCCTAATTTCTTGCATAGAATCTTTAAACATGTCCTGAAAAGTTGTCATTTCGCAGATGTGGATTATTATATTTAATATACCATGGGTGCTATAAATTCTCAGTTAGTTCTGTATGCAGAAAGATATAAATAAAGATATATAATAAAGAAAGGCCTTCTGAATAAAATATAATGTATTTGAGTATTATCCAACAAAGTAAAGCAATAAACCTTTTCGTTGTAGAATTCCGGTATTTGGCAAGGGAAAATGGTGAAGAGAGGCAAAGTGCCGAAGAACGAAGCTGGGGAGTACTGGCACTGGAAGGACTTGGATGTGGGCAAGGATATCTGCATCTACGGGAAAGTCTTCCATACGGTCTCTTGCGATCTCTATACAAAGGTACGTATTGATTGTAATTGCTTAGTAACTATATTACAACACTTGCGGCTTTATAAACTTGGTCTGTAAAGGCTTTACATATATTAACGGATCAGATAAGTATAGTCACGGCGCGGCGGGCAGCGCTTTCAGTGGATCCCACTATTCCCATTACGCAACCAAATTACATTAAACAAATTACTTTTGAAACGCAATCAAATTGCGTGCTCACTGACAGAAACAAATACTCGTATACAATTAGTTCCGGGCAACCTTAATATGGAGATGTAAAAACAATTTATACAAGTTCATCAACATCAATGCGGGTTAGGGACTTCATACGTTTTCCAAGGATTGTGAACCTTCGAAGTGCAGGTTTTATCATGACGTTATCCTTCACCGAAAAGCTCGCGGGAAATTTCAAATTAAATTAAATTTCGCATATAAATTCAGAGAAACTTAGAGGTGCGAACCCTGATTCGAAGCCACGCCCTTCGCTTGAAAGACGGTAGGTTAAACCTATCCATCATGCCTTTTTTGCGCAGGTACTTGTACGTACTTATTATGAGTGTTAAGACAATTTATTTAACTAGCTACTGGACCCTCTACAGCTGGGACCTAAAACGTTTTTTTAGTTGTGGAATTAAGGAGACGACTATCGATTGAAAATGTCATCTTCCTTTAATTATTATTTATTTTACACAACCCTATACATACGAGGGTCAAACTGAAAGTTCTTAGAACTGGCCACTTATAAACAATATAATAAAAAAATAATTCTTAAATTTGAAAATAGAACTCTTTGCCAATATTACTGAGTATATATTTCATTCATTTGTCATTTGTTTTACGATTTGGCGGCAAATTGAAAATTGTCTGTGTCACGTTAACATGAATTTAACACGAGAAAATTTTCATGCAATGATTTTTTATGACTTTCGATGTCATTTAAGTCAACAAGAAAGTTATGATAGACTACGATTGGCCTTTCACGATGAAGCCCCATCTCGTGCGACTGTTTACAACTGGTTTAATGAGTTTAAACGTGGTCGCACTAATCTCACTGATGATTTACGTGAGGGACGGCCTTCTACGGCGACGACTGAAGATAACATCTGTGTTGTGCGGCGTATGATAGAGACTGACAAAAGAGTGACCTATCAGCAGATTCGGACAAGCTTAGGCATCGGTATGAGTCAAGTGCACAAAATCCTCCACGAACATTTAGCGGTCAGGAAGCTTTGCGCCCGGTGGATACCTCATAATTTGACTGAGGCTCAAAAACTCCATCGTGTGGATTGGTGCCGTAAAATGATTGAAAGATTTAACGGAGGTGAATCAAATGCTGTGTTCGACATACTAACAGGTGACGAAAGCTGGATTTACTGTTATGATCCTGAAACCAAAAGACAATCTGCTCAGTGGGTGTTTCCTTTCGAGGAGTTGCCAACTAAAGTGAAGAGAGATCGAAGTGCGGGAAAAAAAATGGTGGCCTCGTTCTTTGGAAGGATAGGTCATTTCGCAACAATTGTGTTAGAGGATCAAAAAACAGTTTCTGCAGAATGGTACACTACCAATTGTTTGCCACTTGTCTTGGAAAAAGTTCGAGAGAAACGACCTCGCAGTAGGATCGTCCTTCACCACGACAACGCCTCGTCGCACACCGCCAAGCGAACGATCGACTATTTGGCGACATCAAACGTTGAATTATTGGTTCACCCGCCGTATAGCCCCGACCTCGCGCCTTGTGATTTTTATTTATTTTCAAAAATTAAAGGAAAGCGGTTTATGAATGCTGAAGAAGCGGTGGCTGCGTATCGCGATGCCATTGAAGAGACCCCTAAGGATGAGTGGGCAAAGTGCTTTTCCCAGTGGTTCCATCGCATGCAGCGGTGTATTGACGTGAATGGACAATATTTTGAAAAGATATAATAAAACTAATAACTGGCTAATGTAATCAGTTTTTAATTTTCTAAGAACTTTCAGTTTGACCCTCGTATTAAGGTAAATAAAATAATATCACATGATACATAAAATTAAACTTTCTTTAATTATTATTTCGTACCAAAAGATTATAGTCCTGTGAATAAAAAAGCTAAGCTGGTTTATTTATTTATTTATAATAAGACTTTTGCCGACTTACGAGTACAGCTTGACCAACATGCCCAGCAAGATAACAATCTTGATTATAAAATAATAATGCTATTAATTGCAATAATAAAAGTAAAGAACACAAAATAGCAGTAATAACAAATTGTAGAGCTAAGTCGTCGGGGATAGTGGAATTACGCTTATCTAGCATTTGGTTATGAGTCTCCATTTCGGTAGTTTAGTCGCCGTATCAAATCAGCGTAAATGTGGTGGTAATCAAATTAGCGTGATTTACTGGAATCTATTGTTATCAGTCCGTAGACAACATAAATTAATGCTTACTGTGCAAAAATGAAAGTCGTAGCCATTGAAATAACAAAGTAATAACGTTAAATCCTGTGAAATTTGGTTTGGTGCAGATACGCGGTTTTTACCAATACTACATACGCGGATTTGCACTATCCCCGATGAAATAGCTCTACAATAACATAAATTAACAAAATTTACAATAGCGGCTATGAGTTGCGACCAACTGTCTGCGAACAGATCAAGAATCGGTGGTCGATGCGTTGAAATCCTGTAGAGTGTGCGGTCTGTTAACGTGACAAAAGGTTTTTTAAATGTTTAATATGGGTTTAGTTACATAATAAATCTTAAAACAACGTTAACCCATAATTTCCATTCAACATCTCTCTTTATTTTATACGTAATTAATAGATTCAGGCATTACTTTGCGGAAGTTCATGTTAATAAAAATGGAAATAACTTAATTTGCTACTCCGCGAACCCAGTGGAGGTTAAATCGTGCGAAATAGCAGCGCTTGTGTTATTTATTTTATTAATTTTATGCGAGGAAGGAGAGTGGTAAAATTAATTGCTTGAAAAAAAAATTTCTATATAACAAATTTATTTATTTTTTTATTTCTCTTATAGAAAGGTATACTGGGGTAACATTTAGGGACACGTATTGAACGGGAAAGGGAATAGGTAAAGTGAATCTTTAAAAGCATTCGATTTTATAAACCCATGTGTAGATAAAAAACGAGCATGGAATGACACAAAAATGTATTTAAAATCAGTCATTTGTTTACCAAGGTCAAATAAAACACATGGAGTCTAATGGTCGTATTCCAGAACTCTACTCAATGCTCAAGTCACGACTTGAGTTTGATTTCAAGCACTGGAAATATGACCCTAATGACAAGGACTTGAGTATGATTTCTAGTGCTTTAAATCATACTCAAGTCCTGACTTGAGCATTGAGTAGAGTTCTGGAATACGACCCTTAGAGTCGTA